GGGGAGCTGCATGGTATTAAATGAAACATATCACAGAATTTGAGAATTTCCCTTATCATAAGCTGTCTCTGTCCTCCCTCTTCTATCAAAACATCCATATTTTTTTTCTAAGTTATGCTTACACTATTTCTTTTCCTACCTAAAACACAGCTTCAAGAGATAACATCTGACTTTTGTATTAATCCTAGATGGGAGAAAAATAAAATCTATTTCAAAGAAATTCTTACAAAATGCCTTCAGTAACATCCTATCAAATATCTTTGCCCAACGGACCCAGCTGAGGCTACAAAAATGTTACCAGCTCCAATATCTGAAGCCGCTTCCTAGGAATCTGGCTCTAATCAATGTGCTGGTCTAGATGTCCCTTTTATTTTTGCCCTGTAGGTTCAGAAGCAAAGAAGGTTGGAGCAGAAGGAAGCTAGAGTTCCAGGTTTTTTCAAAATGAAATTCAGAATAGGAAACTATCAAATCTGAAAAAGTGAATTGACTGCATGAAATCTCTTTGTCAGTTTCCACACTTCCACTCCACTACAAGTCCCAGTTTCAACTGAGTGAAAGCTGATAATTAATAAAGAAGACAGCAAGGCAAGGAAAGTAGATGCCACCTTATGGGACACTAACCCCAAATTGAAGAATGGAATCAAGAGAACAACAAAACCCCTGGATTGGTCCAAGGATTCTTTACAGTCTTCAGGGGACAGGCTGATATTCCCTAGTTGTCCTGCCCTCTGGGTCAACAACTGACCTCCTTATACCTTGTTCTGCTAGACTGGATGTTAGCTGCTGAGTTCAAAGGTAGCCGACACTCCCTGTTACCTTACCAGGAAGCCAAAGCCTTTGCTAAAGTAAGTGAGGAAAGAGGAAACAATCTATCCCTAGACAGATAATTGAAAGATAGATAGATAGATAGATAGATAGATAGAGAGAGAGAGAGAGAGAGAGATAGATAGATGCCCAACTTCCCCACACATGCACAATGTTACAAGCAATGCACTCAAAATCTAAACCTTGGATTTGCTCTTCTACAAAACGTAACCTTCATATTTAAGCAGCGATCAGTCAAACCAAACAACACAATTTTGGGGACCAGAGAAGAGATAAGGAAAGAAAGCGAAAGTTCGTTTCATCTGTTATAACTCTAGAAAACCTGCCTGACTTCTGCCACCCTAGATAAATCTTCTCCAAGACAGCATCTCTCCTTATTGTCACCACCTCTTAAATCAACCATCGATTCTGTGGCGATAAGCTATACAACCAATATTATAAATTGTACCATCGCTTTCTTACCTGCCACCACATTTAACTCCTTCAGCCCAGTTTTCTCCGAAGCCCTCTGCACTGCAACTTTCAATTAAAACAGAAAGAAAGAATGTTGATTTAATGGCGCTCTGCACTTTACTCCTCAGAGCAAATGGACAGAAAGAGGCAGTTTTACTTTTCAAAAAAACATCCATCCTATCTCAGGTCCCAATAAGTTACTAACTGCTGCTTAGGTTAAGTGGGAAAGTTCTGCGGGCCTCCCCTCAAACTAATGCATCTCTGTGGAGGCAGCCTGCTGCTCCAGCAAGACCTCCTTTCATAATCTGTTTTTACCCTTAATTGCCATTTCACTCCTGAATTTGTAACAACTGGAACATTCAGCCTGCTTTTCCTTCCCCGATTTGATAACCAGTTACTTCAATGACAAGATTTCAGTTCTAGATAGAAACAAATTCTCAATTATGGAAGGCAAATTGAGAGACAAATAAGCAAAATCTCTAAGAATCTCAATTTGATAGATTTGTTGTTTTATTATTATTATTAATCAACTTGAAAAATGGGAACCCTAAGCTAGCTGTGAAGACGCTTGATAGCAATATCTTGGAACATCAAAATTACTTCAGGTTTAAAATTGTCTTTTAAGGAATATTCAAGCTCATAAAGACATTGTAAGTGGCAATCAGTGACAGATATATAAATATATGTAATGTATATCTTTATTCTGCCATTTAATAGATCCAGGTTTAATCCTTTTTCTTTGGGGTCTCAAGGGGATTTAAAACAGAAAACTACACAATTAATATTTACCCCCCATATAAACTATACCTAAAACATCTAATGACAAAAGTAAGATGTTGTTAAAGTTACCAACCCCTCCCCCACTGAAATTCCCTACCTTTGAACCCCAAAAGTTATTCCCAAACCCATGCGTTGATTTAGGCCTTGTTGAGGAGGGCTGAGCAGTCAACGGTCAGGTTTTGTCTTGGGTTTTGTTTTCAGGGTTTGTTTTTCATTGTTGCTGTTGCTTTGGTTTGGTTTTTTTGTTTTTTGTTTTTTGTCAGGGAGGGTAGACTTAGAAGGAAAACATCTTCTGAGAACCGGTTAATTTGAACAAATTTTAAGCAGTCAGTAATTACTTCTTTGGAATGTAACCTGTTGGCACATCATGAATTACACTGGATGGTCACCACCAAGCATTATCTCGGTAAATTCACAAAATAATAGCTATCAGGAGGATTAGGCAAACAAATCTTTGATTTCCTTAATATTTTTTTTAATGTTCTCTTAGTGTTCTGTTTAATTTTCCTGGGAGTATTTAGCCAGAAAAAACAAAAACAAAAACAAAACCATGCCAACTCCGCCAATTCTGAGGAACAAGAAAATACGAATTAACCGGCCTAACAGTCATCTTTTCTCCGAGTTTATTAATACCATTTAAAATATTACAAATAAATCAATTACATCTCATGCATTTAAAATGCAAGTCTAAAATGTCCCAGCGAAAAACTTTCCATTTCAATGTGAAATATCCAAACGATTTCAACATTACAATGAGCAACTAGTTTGCAGAGCTTGCAAACCTTTTGGAGTGTAGGGCAGGAGGGCGAATTAACAGTTAACAAAGGTAACCTGCAGGAAATACACATAGGCCAAAGTTCGTTCAGTTTCACTTGGACAAATTTATTTAATACATGGGTTTGGGGGTAAACCCACTTGTTATGAAATATAGGAGAACGTCCACTTTAACTATGCCTGAACTGCCGATGCAAATATAAGTACATGCTTCATTAAATTAAATGTAATCCAACATTTATCAAATAGCTTCTTAGTTACAGTTTGATACTTATCTAAATTAATATCCGAGCAAAACTAGGTCCTGAAAGAGTACCTGCACGGCCACTTCCAGAGCAAGTCCCCAGAAACGCAGTTCACTAGGACTGCAACAATAACTCTGAATATTTTTTTTCTTGTGACGAAAAAAAAATCTCAAGTTGACTTCAATATATTTTCAAATATTTACTGCAAGTATATACAAGAAAAATACTATACAAAATCGTCTTCTGGACAACTGCGGCTCACACCTGCACACTGGCGGAGTTATATTTAATTGCTAACTAATCTAGAACGATTCTCCAGTTGAACAAACCATTAGGTTTCTTTTATATTTTACAAAGATTTTTTTTTGTCCTATTCCCCCCACCCCTCCCTTTTGGCATTCTGACTAAAGCCTCATCTGCAAGCTAACCACAGCATCTTCACTTCTTTAAAGGTTTAAATCACAAAGAAAATAAGATAAATTTAATCCTAAATATATTTCAACCCGATTGCATGAAGATATAGAAACGAGAACTCCACAAATGGGCGGCCGGGAGAACAAAAAGCCTGGGGATTACTCTGGGGAGTGTTGGAGAGCGAGGTAGAAAAAGGACAAATACAGAGATACTTAATCTGGTCTCACCGGAAAGAAGGCCATTTTTGCATAAGAAAAAGACGCTTACCCTAACCCCACTCCCACCCTCACCGCAGAAGTTAAGTTCAGGAGATCAAAATCACTTTGGGATCAATATTAACTGCACGGTTTCAAGAGAAAGACTTGCTTCGCTCGCAGCTGTTGGAAAAAGACTAAGGTTTGTGACCGGAGACGAGCGAAATAAAAAGGACTTCTTGTTTTGAAAGCAATGAATATGTATACACATAGATTATATATAGTACATGTATATATAACATATATGTATATATACCCACGTGGGTCTGCGTGTGTGTGTTAAAGGAAGCTGCTGAGCAGGTAAACAGAGAAGAGCCCCATTTTTCAAACTGTCGAAAGTTCTACCTCGAGGGTGGGAGGTGGAAACATGGGAGGGGGGAACCCAGCAAAGTTTTTGTTGCAATGAATTTTAACTGTCAATTGGGCCACTTTCCCTGCTGCAAAACCCGGAGAAAGCCTCTCAGGCTGCCTCCCCAGGGGTTCTCGGCTAGCCCGAGAAAAGTACCGGGAACCCTGCTCCGGGGCTCCAAGACCGAGGCGGCATACCGCGTCTTTCTCAGAAGCCAGAGCAGCCCGGGAGGCGGCACAGCTAGCAGCCCTTCCCTCAGCCCTGAGAGGCCCTCCTCCACACCTCGTCGAATTTGCCTGACTGAGACACCCCATCCCATCTAGCCTGCTGCCCCGAAGATCCCAGGCCTGGGCAGGCAGCGCCGTAGTTGTCCTGCACACACACACACACACACACACACACACACACACACACACACACACACACCCCTCCCCCAATCGGAAGTAACACCTGGAAGAGAGAGAACTACCCTAAGGGGATGCATGGGGTGAAGGGGCAGATTTTAACGCCTCAGAGAAATAAAGAAATAGAAAAAGAAGGAAGGAAGGAAGGAAGGAAGGAAGGAAGGAAGGAAGGAAGGAAGGAAGGAAGGAAGGAAGGAAGGAAGGAAGGAAGGAAGGAAGGAAGGAAGGAAGGAAGGAACGAAGGAAGGAAGGAAGGAAGGAAGGAAAGAAGGGGTGGGAAAAAAAGTGTCCAAAAAAGCGATACAAGTTACTTACACGTCCATGTCCCCTTTACAAAGTTTAGTGTGACAGAGAGAAAAGGGAGACCCCAAAGCGTCTCCCGTCCCCAGCGCCTCGGGGCGCAGGTAGGCAGGCAGTAGAGGGCCTGGCCTGGCCATCTGGGCCCCGGGGGGCGGGCTGCAGGGACCCAAGGTGGTGGGCCAGGGGCCAGGGACGCCCTGGTTCACTCCAGACCACTGCGGTGGCCCGGCTCCGGGGGCTGTAGCAGCTCCGGAGAATGGCACGGTGGACTACCGGCTGTGCTGTGCTCGCTGTCGGTGTCGCTGCCCTTCTTGCCGCCGCTGCCAGAGCCCGCCGAGCCGCCGCCGCCGCCGCCGCCGCCGCTGTGGGTCTTGACGTGCTTGCTGAGGTGGTCGCTGCGCATGAAGCGCTTGTTGCAGACGGGGCAGGCGAAGCGCTTCTCGCCCGTGTGGGTCCGCAGGTGCCGCTGCAGCTCGTCGGAGCGCGTGAACCTCTTGCCACAGAAGAGCCAGTTGCACACGAACGGCCGCTCGCCCGTGTGCCAGCGCAGGTGCGCCTTCAGGTGCGACGTCTTGCCGTACACCTTGCCACAGCCCGGGATGTGGCAGCTGTGCAGGCCCTTGCGCCGAAGACTGGCACCGGCCGGGCCCAGCCGCTCAGCCTCCTGGCAGTTGGGGCAGTCGCAGGTGGCGCGGCCAGAGTAGCGGCGGGCAGAAGAGCGCGGGGAGCCCCCCAGAGGCGCGGACGGCCCGCCACCGCCCAGCACAGAGCCTCCGGCGCCGGCCAGCGGCGACGGGGCCGAGTCAGGGTAAGATCCCGGTAGTACCGGCTTGAAGCCGTCCATCAGGTGCTGCCCGGCCGGGCTGAGCAGGTGCGTCGAGGCGCCACTGCTAAAGGCCGAGTGGCCCAGGCCCGAGTAGTCCGAGTTGTAGCCGCCCAGAGGCGAATGCAGCGAGCCCTGCAGCCCCCCCGCAGCCGGATGCAGCGAACCGGGCAGCGAGGCCGCCCCGTTGGGGTTCTGCACGTCGATCCAGCCAGCTCCCACGTCCCACCAGCTGGAGGCGGCGCCTGCCGCGCCCACGTCCCCAGCAGCGCCCAGACCAGGGTGCGAGGGCTTGAACCACGACTCGTACGGGTGAGCCATTCCCACGCGCGGGTAGATTCCCTGCAGGCCGTCCACCGACGTATGCACCTTGGACAGGAACACTGGCTGATGTGAGCCGTCCTGGCTGTGCGCTGCCGCGGTCGAACTGCCTCCGCCGCCGCCGCCGCCGCCGCCACCCCCGCCGCCGCCCCCGCCACCGCCCGACACACCGGGGGCCTGGAAGACTGAGTAGTCGTTGGCGAAGGGCGAGCCCGAGGCGGCCGCGGCAGCAGCAGCAGCCGCGGCAGCAGCGCTGCTGGAGGTGAGCGAGAAGGCGCTGGAGCCCGGCGAGCCGCCGCAGCTGAATGAGTCCGACACAAGAGCCGCGGCGGCCGCTGCCGCCGCCGCTGCAGCTGCAGCCGCTGAGGACGAGCCCCCGGTCCGGGAGGACCCCGATACCCCAAAGCCCGAAAGGCTGGAGCCCACTACGTTACAGCTGCCGGACGAGGAAGAGGAAGTGCGTTTCCAAGGGTGGAAGCCTTTTCCGAACGAGGACGCGCTGTCCGAGAGGGAGGAGGGCGACGGGCTGGGACTGCCGATCTTGTTACAGGTAGCAGCGAGCATGGCTAGAGGCGTGGATCCCAACCTCGGTTCTTCCTGCGGGAAAGAAAAGAGGAGACAGGGGCAGGGGAAGAAGGAAGGTGGGAGCGGGGAAGGGCATGAGGATGGGATAAGATGGGATGGAATAGGAGAAAAAGTGCATCAGATCCCTGGTATCCTCCAAGACTTCGCACACACACACATACATACACACACACACACACACACACACACACACACACACACACTGCACCCCCATTTCTCCCCGCAGCGAGCCTCTATCAACTCACCTTTCACACCTACCAAGAGCCCGGGAACCTGGCTGGCTTTCTAATCTAGGGCGATGGGGGAAAAAGTTTGCTGGGCGTCTGGAGTGAGAGGCATTCACTTCTAGGGAGACTTTGACAATCAGCCTTCCTGAAAACCAACACACTCGCACACACAAGGCCCAGAACAGACACTTTCGACTGGGATAGGAGTGGTGGGGTCAGAATTGCAGGAAGACTAACAGAAAGACAGGGATCTTGGCTGAAAAAGAAATCCGCAAAAAATGGTCTGATTGGATAGGTTTTCGTGTGTGCTTGTGTGTGTGTGTGTGTATGTGTGTGTGTGTGTTTAAAGCGGCATTCTAGTGTCTTTCCCTGGCCATCCATCCATCTCGAGGTTCTCTACCGATTTCCAGTCCCTAGAAACTGATCCTTGTTAGTTTCTCACAGCTAGGAAAGGTCGGACGCCTGGAGTCCGCTTGCTCTCCCCCTTTGTCATGGTTATTATTGTTATTTGAAATCACACTGACAACAATTAAAAAAAAAAACACTGAAGCGGATTCCACGTACCTGCAGGATGCGGCGGGCTGCGGAATTTTAAAGGGGAGGGGGGCCGCTGCTGCCAAGTGCCCGGGAGCAAAAGCTTTAAAGCTGTCTTTCTTTCTTCCCCCCCTGAAATAGTCACATGGAGGATAGGCTGGACTAGCCCTTCTCCCCGGACAGCCGCAGCCGGGCTCTGGGAGGTGGCTCGTATAAATGCCCTTAGAACCTTTGGCTGAGCTCAAAAAGAGTGACTCTGCACCCCCTCCCTTCCCCCTTTTTCTTTTCTCCAAACTCACTTGTACTTAAGAAAAAAAAAACCCTCAATAGAGAGACTGATAGCCCCTGTCCTGGCCGGGGCTATTTTAGCCCCTCCAATCGGCGACAGAAAGAAACTAATTAAACCAGCAAGAGAAAATCCTTAAACTCACCCCTAGTAGTGAAGTTGCCATCCCACCAAAGTGCCCTCCTCCTCCTCCTCCTCTCAGAGGATCTTTTATATATTGATAAATCAGAGGCAGTGTTTTTTTTTAGAGGTGTGCAATACAATGATCTGGTCCGCCCCTTCCAGCACAATTGTAGCCCTCTCCGCGGCTTTGAAGTACCGCTGAGCCTCGGCCAGCCAATCTGCGGCGCCGCCGGGCCGCTCAGACACGCTGCTGCGTGAGGTCACCAGCCCCAGCCCCAGCGCCAGCCCCAAACCAGCCGAGCGAGCAAGACGGCCGGGAGCGGGCGCAGGCACCCGCAACAGCAGCAGCAGTCCCAGTGGCCAGTTCCTATTCTCCAAGAGAAGGGGGGAGACAGACTGAGTGTGTGTATGAGTGTGTCTGTGTGTGTGTGTGTATGCCACAAAGATTGCAGAGGGGAGCCGCACTGCCACTACGTGAGCTCGCGCGCGCGCGCACACACAGAGAGAGAGAGAGAGAGAGAGAGAGAGAGAGAGAGAGAGAGAGAGAGAGAGAGAGAGAGAGAGAGAATGAGAATCAGATTTTACAAGCAAGTGAAACAGATTGCAAAGTTAAGGGAGGCTGGGCAAATAATAAAAGACGTTGCCTAAACCCGGCTTCTATCCTCCACCCTTACACCTTGTTGCCTAAAAGCTAGGCGCTGGGGTTAACCCCACGATGGGCTGTCACTTTCTTTGGAGGAGCTCCTTAGTTCTCCTCCCCTCCAGCAGGACCGAGTTGGGGGAGGATTTATAAGAGGTGGCCTAGCTCCTTTTGCATCTGATCCTTTGGCCTCTCCCGCCCCCCGCGATGGTATGTCTGTAAGGGTTTGGAAATTTAAGTTTCCTTCATGCGGGAGGGGCAGCGTTTGCCCAGTTACTAACGCTGCGTACATTTCAATACAAAAGGCATTAGACAGAGATGGGGTGGGGTGGGGGTGGAGAGTGATGAGATTGATTTTCCCCGGTGTACGGAAATCTGCTGCTGGACTCTGGGAGGAAAGGAGAGGGGAAACTGAAAGAAATCTCTAACAGATAACTCCATTCTCCTTTGGGAGAAGACAACTTTTGTATTCCTCCCCCCTTTCTTTCCCTCCCCTCTTCTCCCCACCCTACGTCCTTCCCCCATCTGTAAGCCCCATTTCCCTGGTCTCAAACCCTCTCTGGGGGAGGCCATTTATTCAATGATGACCCTTCCTCAGAGATGCCATCCCAATTTCCCTGCCGCAGCAAAGAGACAGAGCTTCAACCCTTCGGAACTAACAAACAGTTCACCCCCAAAGCAAACTCCTGCACCTCAAACGCCATGTTTCAGCAGAAATCCCAGCGTTGGGATGTGGCTCCCAGGGCTCTAAGAAGCCAGATTTGACCATGGAATCAGGGGTGGGGTACGGTTCTTCGGCTTTTTAAAAAATTAGCTCTCCTACAATAGCCCAGCTTCATGGAGCCTTCCTGCCTTCCTGCCTTCCTGCCTCTCTCCCAGGCTTCCTTGAGCTCCACTTTTAAGCTTGGGGGCTCTGGTGCGTCCCATGAAACCAAGCCGACCTGGACGTCGGTTGGAACGAGTTTTTTGACCCTTTTTTTCTTTCCTACGGTGCTAGGATATTGACTGTCCATCATATCTATTGATCACGGCGGGTGGGGGGAGAGACGAAGAAGCTTATACTTTGGAGCGAGTGTGAAGTAAATTAATGAACTGCTTTCTTTCTCTGAAGGCTGACGCTTACCATAAATGTCGTGTTGCGCTCGCTCTCTCTCTCTCTCTCTCTCTCTCTCTCTCTCTCTCTCTCTCTCTCTCTCTCTCTCTCTCTCTCTCTCCCCCCCCCGCGAGCCGCTCTGAATGATTTTAGCCTGTTGAGAAGGCGTGACAGGCCAACCCAGAAGGAGGAAGGGGTGGGGGAAGGAGGGAACTCCGTTTAACAAATAAAAAAGAATTAACTCCATTGCTTTGGTCTCCTTCTGTAATGATATTCATTTTACGGACCTAATGCACAATTGCTGGAATTTTGGGTTTAATTCCAATCAATAGTATTATCCACTGAAGGGGTGGGGAGGGGAGACGCCCTTTCTATGAATACTTATTAAGTTTATCTTCTTGTCCTCCTGTCTTTTTGGAACCGAAGCTAAGCTAGTAAGTAAAACTTCGGATTTGGAGCTCAGAGGAAAGACAGATTTGGATGTGGGCTTTCTTTCGCATGCAAAGAATTCACAGTTGGTGATGACGATTTTGAGCCCCTGTTACTTTGAAATCTGGAGTTTTAACAAGTTTGTTTTTGATAAGTATTTTGTACCCACCACTAGAGCATGATGTAATTATGTGTATTAAGGAATACGTTGACTATTCCCATCTGCAGCTTTTCAGAATTTCTCACTCTGGAGTCTCAAAGTGCGTGACTGTCTTTTCGGAGTACCATTGTTTTAAAAATCAAATGAGATATTTTTGTGACCAGAAACAAATATGACAAATTTCTCTCCTCCCCTTCTCCACCCTCTCTATCCCCACAACAACAAAAAGTTACCGTATATATGTTGTGGAAACCTATCTCAGACTTTATAGAAAAGACAAAGGAAACAACCAAACTCTTGAACACATGTTAAACTGGATTTATTCAGTCAGAGAAGCCTCTCTGCTTCTGATTTCACTGACACAGCCAGCAACGAGACTGAGACTGTTCCCTGCACCCTGGAGGAATGACCAGATCTTGGCTGCATGCTCCACGGGAGGGAACTTTTGTGAGCGATTGTGTGCTGGGCCTTCTGGGCAGGGGAGGGGCCGGGTGGCAAAAGTGCTCAGAGAACTCTTGGGCCACCTGGGCCCTATTCCGCTGTTCGCTGGTAGGATATTACCCATAACTAACTCTACAGAGTTTTTTCGAGCAAGAAAACCGGCAAGTTTGGAGGGGGGAGGGGAGAACAAATATAGTCCAGATTTTCTGAAATTAATTATAAGTTGCTGTTTTTGTTTTTTTTTTCCTTTCTCTGCCCCCAACCTCCATGAAGTTTAATGCAGTGGGACTAGATGGATGTTGGTGCCGTTTCTTGAAAACCTGTGGGATCCACTCTCAACGAAGCTTTTAAAAAAATCTATTAGCATTCTGTATGCATCGGTAGCATAAATTTCATTTGAATTTCAAATTTAATAAACCAGGAGGTTTTTAATCATCCCTGGTTTTATTTGTTTGATATTAACATGCTTATTGACCGGGTCTGTTGACCGGTTTGATCATTACAGGACAGCAAAAAGTTAATTAAAACGACCACAGCTCCTTAATCATATCATCTGTCTCATCCATGTCGTTCCCTTTATTACAGGCGATGATGGATCGGCTCCCAGATTAATCTCTCTGTTTCTTCGATTTGGACAACAGCTTTGGGGGCCTAATTTACATCCTGGGAACAACCTGCTGAAGTCTACCAAACACCTTGCTGCGACAATAGACAGCAGCAACCTCCCTGCGAGGGGGAGTAGGGAAGCGAGCTGGCTGCCGGCTGAGCCCGATCCTCACGTGGATCCAGGGTCCGAGCGGAGGCCATGGGGTCTACTAGAAGCCCGTAAGAATATAGAGGCAGAAAAGCTGGGGGGGGGGAGGGGAAGCCCTTGCGGGCTGGGGAGGGAAAGAATGATATTGCTGTGCAGTTAGTCTGGAAAAATGTATACAGACCCACATGGAAATAAAGTCATTGGAAAACATTAAGTACAATCAGTAGCAACTTCTCTTAGAAGAGTCCAAGTTCTCTCGCGGTTTCCTCGGGCTCCTAAAGGTGTCTACACATTCCGAGGGTAGGTGTTAATACGTCCAGCTGTTCTCGGCGAGAGGTATAAACTGGATGTAAAGCGAAAGGGCACACGCCTCACAGGGAAGCGTGCGTGTATGAGACTGTGTGTGACTGTGCGTGGCTGGCTGCGAGGGTGACTGTGTGTGCTCTCAGGAGTGTACAGGAACTGAGCCAACGGGGCTGTTTTGCAGCATCCTCCCTTGCCCAAGAAAAGTCCAAGAAACGGGAAAAAGCCTAGAGACAGACATGAAGCTTTCCCACCTTTTTTTTCCCCTCTTTCCAACGAAGTTTTAGCCTTGGATGAACGGCTTTCTCCTCCGCGGGG